AAATACGCCCCCCGGGTGCCCCCCGAGCAGCGGGTCAAGGCCTTTGTCCTTGTGGGGTGAGTCCAGGGGGACCCTGGGGGGTCCGTGGGACATGGGTCACACAGGGTGGGGGTCACACAGGGTGGGGGTCACATGGGGTGGGAGTTCCTTGTGCAGCAGCACCAGGGGTTTGGGGCTCTCGGGTGGGTGTGGGGGCACCGTGAGCTGTGTCCCCCCAGTGGGGGTTGGTGGTTCAGGTGTGGGGGGCTGTGGGGGTGCTGCCCCCCCCGTGCCCACGCTGTGGGTGCCCCCCAGGGACCTGGAGCAGGCGGCAGAGGCGGCCATAGAGCACAAGAGCGAGGCTGAGATGAACCTGGTGCTGTCCCACTGCTCCCCCGGCACCAACGGCGCCCTGGCTGAGAAACTCACCCGGGCCCGGGCACAGCTGCTAAAGAAGTGACCCGGGGGGCTGCAGGGACCCCCCCAGCCCCTCACACCCCCCTCCTGAGAGGTCTGTGCCTGGGGATGGGGATGGCAGTGAGATGTCCATGTCCTCTGGCAGCTGCTCCCAGCACGAGTTTGGGAAACAAAGCACGGCACCGGGACCTCCAGTGGTGCAGGACCCCCAGCCTGGGGGCAGGGGGACCCCCACCCTCCCACCACGGCCCCTCCCTCCCTGTTCAATAAAGAAAAGAACTCCCACTGCTGTCTGGTCACAAATGCTCAGCAGCCCCCGGTGGGTCTGGGGGGATTCAGGGAGCACACTGGGGTCCAGGAAGGGTTCCTGGAGCAGACCCTGGGGAGTGGGGAAGGGGAGGTCATTGGGTGTCCCAAAGGGGTCCTGGGGAGACACTGGGGGTCCCCTGGGGGAGTCCCTGGGACCCTCAAAGGGGTCCTGTGGGGGTCATTCAGGGGGCACACTGGGGGCCAAGAGGGGTTCCAGGAGGGGTTCCTGGGGCAGGCTCTGGGGGTGTGTGGAAGGGGAGGCCCCGGGATGTCCCCAGAGGTCCCGGGGTGTCCCCAAGGCCCCGGGGGTCCCGTCCCCGCAGTGCCTCCCCCGCCCGCCGGGGGGCGCCGCGGAGCCCCGGCCCCGCCCCCTGTGGTCACGTGGCCGCGGTGCACGGTGGGGCCGCAGCGATGGCGGCGCTGGGAGCGGGACGGGCGGCGGCGGTGAGGGGGACACGGGCACAGCGCGTGTGGGGGGACACGGGGACACCGCGTGTGGGGGCACGGAGGACGCGGGGACACGGGGGAACGCCAGGGGGAGAGGGGTCGGGCTATTGGGGGTCACAGGGTCATACCGGGTTTGGGGAGCCGGGCCGGGTGAGGGGCCGGGCTGGGCTGAGGGGTCCGTGTGGGCCGGGGGGGGTCTGTCTGGGCCGGGGAGGGCACTGTGGGCCGGGGGGTGTCACACTGGGCTGGGGTCAAGGTCGGCGCTCCAGGGGTGAGGGATCGGTCCGGGTCGGGGAGGTCAGTGGGTGGGGGGTCACTTTGGGATGGGGGCGTTAATCTGGGACAGGGTGTAAGGTCAGGGCTGAGGGCGGTTATTCTGGAGGGCTGTTAAGGCTGGGGAGATCGGGTTGGCGGTGTTCAGGTAGGGGGTGTCAGGCTTGGGGAGTTGTTAATTTTTTGGGGGGTTCAAGCTGTCTGATCACTTTGGGGGGCTGCTCCGGGGGTTACTTTGGGCTGGAGGAAGATGGGGGTGTGGGGGTGTCAGCCCAGCCCAGGGGTCGGGGGTGTTTGGGGGTGGGGGTACCCCCCAACAGGGCTGTCTGACTCTGACCCCCCGTGCCCCCTCAGGGCCTCCTGCGTGCCCAGAGCCTCGGGGGGTGGAGGGGCCTGAGGACCACGGCCGCCCTCCCACAGATGCCCCAGGCCAAGGTGAGGGGCACTGGGGGTGGGAATGGGGGATGAGGGGGAAAGGGGCTCGGGGGGACCTTCTCCTCCCCACAACTCCCTGACAGGAGGGGGGAGCCGGGAGGGGGTCGGGCTCTGCTCCCAGAGATCAAGGGACAGGATAAGGAGAAACAGCCACAGGCTGTGCCGGGGGAGGGTCAGGCTGGATATGGGGAAATCGCTCCTGGAATTCCTCCTGTCCAGCCCTGGCACAGCTGCCCAGGGCAGGGGGAGTCCCCATTCCTGGGGGATTTAACAGCCCTGTGGATGTGGCACGTGGGGACACGGTCAGGGGTGGACTTGGGGATCTCTGAGGCTTTTCCCACCCAGAAGATTCCCTGATCCATGTGCAGAGCTGTTCAGGACGTGAGGGAAGGGCTGAGCCCAGGGTGTCCCCGTGCCCTTGAGCCAGGCCCAGCCCTGCCTGTCCCTCAGCTTTGCCTCCTGGTATTTCCTGCCTGAGCAGGAGCCGAGTGTGCGCCCTGGCAATCTGATCCCAGCATATTAAAGCTCCAAATCCTTGACTCCTCTTTCAGTCCCACTGCCTGTCCCCTCGTGTTCTGGTGGGTAAATCCCTGTCCCTGCCTGCGGATCCCTGATGGTGGATCTGGGAGATCCATTTCTGGATCCCAGCTCTGAGCAGGAAACTCTGGGCTGAGGAAGGTGGGAGCAGTGGAAGGAGGGTGTCAGACCAGCAGACAGCTCTGGGGGGGCGGGGATGGAATGACCCAGGAGTTATCTGTGGGGCTGGTTTGGGTCCTGGGCCACAAAACTCGTGTTTGGCAAAAAATCCACGGGGTTGTGGCAGCACAGGGGGAGGGTGGGGAGACTCCCATGGGAAGGGTCAGGAGCACCAGACCTGCTGGCAGTTCATGGAATCCTTCTGGGCACAGGGGGAGGCTATTTCTGGAGGTGCTGCCTAAGGAAAAGGTCTCTCCACTGGCACAGGGTTGGGGTGTCGGGTGTCCCTTGTGCTCAGGTGTCGCTCTGGGGTGGCCCCAGAACGGGGCAGAAGAGCACTGGGGGGGTCACCCCCAATTCTTGGGAGGGTTTGGGCCCTTCACAAGACACTGAGGGGCTGGAGCGTGTCCAGGGCAGGAGCTGGGAAGGGGCTGGAGCAGCAGGAGCGGCTGAGGGAGCTGGGGGGGCTCAGCCTGGAGAAAAGGAGGCTCAGGGGGACCTTCTGGCTCTGCAACTCCCTGACAGGAGGGGGGAGCTGGGGGGGTCGGGCTCTGCTCCCAGGGAATAGGGACAGGAGGAGAGGGAACAGCCTCCAGCTGTGCCAGGGGAGGTTTAGTTGGATATTGCAGAAAATTCCCCCTTGGAAACGGCTGTGCAGCCCTGGCACAGCTGCCCAGGGGAGTCCCCATCCCTGGGGGGATTTAACAGCCCTATGGATGTGACGCTTGGGGACACGGTCAGGGGTGGCCTGGGCAGTGCTGGGGGGCTCAGGGGCTTTTCCATCCCAACATTCCATGATGCTGTAAGACCCCCGAGCCCTGTGAGCGCTGTGTCCCTGTACCCCCTGTGTGCTGGGGGGACATTTTCCCCTGGTGCCAGTGACCCTCCCCAGCTCCCTGTGGGCAGGTCGGGGGTCCCCTGGCCCTGACCTCCCGCCGTGTCCCTGCAGTCCCAGAATGCCAAGGCCGAGGGCACATTCCAGGTGACGATGCTCCCGGGGGATGGAGTGGGCCCGGAGCTCATGCACGCCGTCAAGGAGGTCTTCAAGGTAAGGACCCAGCCCGGGACAGAGCCCGGCCCCTGCTGCTGTCCCCGGGACAGGCTGGCACTGCCCAGGGTCCCTGGGTGTCCTGTGCCCTGTGCCCTCCCTGCTCAGCTCGGGGCACTCGGGATCCATCCGCTGTCTGTCACACGAGCCCTACCGTGTCATGGGCACCGCAGTGGTTACACAGCTGGAAAATCCCTTCCTGGAAAACTCCTTCTGGAAAGGGCTCTCCAGCCTTGGTACAGGTTGCCCATGGCAGGGGGGGGAGTCACCAGCCTTGGAGGGATTTAGGTTGGATATTGGGGAAATTCCTCCTGGAAAGGGCTGCCCAGCTTACCCAGGCCAGTGGGGGAGTCCCCATCCCTGAGGGGATTTACCTTGGATGTTGGGAAAATTCCTTCCTGGAAAACTCCTGGAAAAGGGCTGCACAGGCTGCCCAGGGCAGTGAGGGAGCTACCAGCCTTGCTGTGGGATTTAGGTTGGATACTGGGGCAATCCCTCCTGGAAAGGGCTGTCCAGCCCTGGCACAGCTGCCCAGGACAGGGGGAGTCCCCATCCCTGGGGGGATTTAACAGCCCTGTGGATGTGGCACCTGGGCACATGGTCAGGGTGGCCTGGGCAGTGCTGGGGGCATCTCAGAGGGATTTCCCAACCTAAATATTCCATGATTTTATCAGTGTAACTGCTCCATTGGGACTGAAGCAACTCCAAGGTCTAGGGTCAGCTTTCCATGATCCCCGTTCCCTGAACGGGGCCCTGGCTGGGTCAGGGCTGCAGGACCCCCCTGTCCTGGGCAGTGCCACGTCCCCAGGGCTCCCGGGTGACTGTCCCTGTCCCTGTGCCAGGCTGCCAATGTCCCCGTGGTGTTCGACGAGCACCACCTGAGCGAGGTGCAGAACACGGCGTCCGAGGAGAAGCTGGACCGCGTCGTGGACTCCATGAAGGAGAGCAAGGTGGCCCTCATAGGTGAGCTGTGCCCGGGGCACCCCTCCCGTGGGCTCAGCCCAGCTCCTGCTGGCAATCCAGGGCTCCCAGGATAGCCCAGGGGCTTGGGGGCTCCGTGACCAAGAGCTGGACCCCCACTCCTAGCTGAGGGGCTGCTGGAGCCCCCGGGCCCCCCTCACTGCACACGGTGCAGGGCATGTCCCTGTGCCCTGTGTCCTTGTCCTGCCCCATGTCCTCACCCTGCCCCGTGTCCTTGTCCTGCCCCCTACCCTCACCCTGCCCTCACCCTGCCCTGTGTCCTCACCATATCCTCACCCTGCCCCGTGTCCTCACCCTGCCCCGTGTCCTCACCATATCCTCACCCTGCCCCGTGTCCTGCAGGGAAGATCCACACGCCCATGGAGTACAAGGGAGACCTGGCGTCCTATGACATGAGGCTCAGGTGAGGGACGGCCCTGTCACCTGCCCGGTGCTGGGGAAAGTGTGTTAATTAATAGCTAATGAGCCACTGGGGAGCAGAAGATCCCCAGGGACTGGCTGTGGGCTGGGAAACCAGACTCCTGAGGGACCATCTGTGGCCCTGGATCAGTGTGGTCCTGCTGCCCTGGGGGTCCTGGAGAAGGGGGGTGGCCCCCAGAACTCACAGGGGACAATCACTGGGAAAACCCACTAATTAATAATTAATGAGTAATTGGGAAGCAGAAAATCCCAAGGGACTCTGTGTGGCCTGGAGCTGTCCCTGTGCACTGTGATCCTGATGCCTTGGGACTCCTGGATGTGGGGGGTGCTCCCTAGTACTCATAGGGGACACTGGGAAAGCCCTATTAATTACTAATTAATGAGTTTTTAGGGACTGTCACTGGGAAAGCCCTCTTAATTAGTAATTAAAGAGTTTTTGGGGTCAATCACTGGGAAAGCCCTATTAATTCCTAATGAATGAGTTTTGGGGGGCAATCATTGGAAAACCCTATTAATTAGTAATTAATGAGTTATTGGTGACAATCACTAGGACAACCGTATTAGTTACTAATTAGTGAATTTTTGGAGTCAATCAGTGGGAAAGCCCTATTAGTTACTAATTAATGAATTATTAGTGGCAATCACTGGGACAACCCTATTAATTACAAATTAATGATTTTTTGGGGTGAATCAGTGAATTATTAATAATTAATGAGTTTTTGGGGTCAATCATTTGGGAAACCCTATTAATTACTAATTAGTCAGTTATTGGGTGTCGTGGTTTTGCTCTGGGTCAGTTTTTTCTCACCCCCCACAATTACTCTAAGTTGAGAGAAGGTTTATGCAGACAAAAGAGAGCTACTTTGGGAAAATAATCTGAACATTTATTACTAGCAAGATGAAAACTAAAGAACTACATCTACAATAATTCTAATTAGGTAAAAGCACTATGTATTTACAGCAATACCCCTCCCCCTTTGTATCAGTCCAGGAGGAGAAGCAGTCTCTGTCTCCATTTCCAGAGCTCCAGATCTTTTCAATAACTCTGCAGCACTCGAAAGCTCTTCTTGTGTTATCTCAGGACAACAACTCCTTTTCATTGCAGCTGGAATTGTTTCTCTTTCTCTCTCTCTGTTCTCTGTTGGCCTCAGGGCTGGGCCTACCCCCTCCTGGGCTGAGACCACAGCCTGGGGGTTACCCAGGCCCTGCAGGGTCTTCCATGGACTGCAAGGACTCACTTGCCTACCGTGGATCTTCACCACAGGGTCACAGGGGATAATGGCTTTGAGTCCACCCCTGTTTCCTGTGGGGTCCCTTCCCATGGGAGAACAGTCCTTGACAGACCTCTCTGACAGGGGTCTAGCATGGATCTCACACACGGATCCCAACACCTTGCCCGAGCCGTTCTGCTCCGGCCAAGTCTCTCCATGCCTTACAAGCCTCCAGCAGGACTCTGTTTCATTTCAAGCTTCTCATGAAGTCTCAGCTTCCTCAGCATCCACAAGCTCCTCTATGAGCTGCATGGGGGTCTCCTCACCCCAATAATCTTCCACAGGTGGCAGGGATTTATTTTTCAGTCTTTTCCCTGCTGAAGGGAGAGAGCAAAAGGGGCGAAAAGCAGCCCCCCCTTCGAACATCTCTTCTCTCTCCTGCTGCAGCTTTGGCCTTGAACGCTCCTTCTCTCTCTGCTGAATTCCTTTTGCAGCACAGCTTGTCCAGGCTCTTCTCTAAAGGTTTTCCTCTCTGCTCTCCTACAGGAGAGAAGGGGGCGTCAGTGCCACACCTGCCCCCAGCCCAGGGCACGGGGAGGGGGCCCTGACACCACTCCCTGCACGGCTCCCAATTTCAGCTGCGCCACAGCCTTCATTCCGTTTCCTAAATATGGAATCTGCAAAGGCGTCACCGGAGCTTGGATTGGCCTTTTCTCCGCAAACCCACCCGGACAAAACCACCCTCAGCCCCAGGGCAATGCTGGGGGCAAAACCACGGCATGGGGCGATCAGTGGGAAAGCCCTATTAATTACAAATTAATGAATTATTAGTGACAATCACTGGGACAACACTATTAATTACAAATTAATGAGTTTTTGGGGTCAGTCAGTGGGAAAGCACTAATAATGAGTTTTTGGGGTCAATCATTGAGAAAGCCCTATTAATTTCTAATTAATGAGTAATTGAGAACAATCAGTGGGAAAGCCCTCCTGATTAGTTATTAATGAGTTTTTGGGGTCAATCATTGGGAAAACCCTATTAATTACTAATTAGTCAGTTATTGGGGCAATCAGTGGGAAAGCCTTATTAATTACTAATGAATGAGTATTTAAGGGCAATCAGTGGGAAAGTCCTATTAATTACAAATTAATGAATTATTGGTGACAATCAGTAGTACAAACCTATTAATTACTAATTAATGAATTTTTGGGGTAAATCACTGGGAGAGCCCTATTAATCACGAATTAATGAGTTATTGAGGACAATCGGTGGGAAAGCCCTATTAATTCCTAATTAATGAGTTTTGGGGGGCAATCATTGGGAAAGCCCTATTAATAATCAATGAATTTTTGGGGTCAATCAGGGGAAAAGCCCTCTTCATTAGTAAATAATGCGTTTTTGGGGACAATCATTGGGAAACACCTATTAGTTACTAATTAATGAGTTTTTTGGGCAATCACTGTGAAAGCCTTATTAATTCAGAGTTACTGAGTTTTTGGGGTCAGTCATTAGGAAAGTCCTATTAAATACAAATTAATGAGTTTTGGGGGGCAATCGGTGGGAAAGCCCTGTTAATTAGTAATTAATTAATTATTAGTGACAATCACTAGGACAAACCTAATAGTTACTAATTAATGAATTTTTGGGGGCAATCACTGGGAAAGCCCTATTAATTACTGATTAATGAGTTATTGAGGACAATCACTGGGCAAGTCCTATTAATAATTAATGAGTTTTGGGGATCAATCAGTGCAAAATCCCTATTAATTACTAATTAATAACTTTTTGGCCAATCATTGAGAAAGCCCAATTAATTCCTAATTACTGAGTTTTTGCAGGCAAACAGTGGGAAAACGCTATTAATTACTAATTAATGAATTATTAGTGACAATCACTAGGACAACCCTATTAATTACAAATTAATTTTTGGAGTCAATCAGTGGGAAAGCCCTAATAATCACTAATTAATGATTTATTGGGGTCAATCACTGGGAAAGCCCTATTAATAATTACTGAGTTTTTGGGGTCAATCAGTGGGAAATCCCTATTAATTACTAATTAATGAGTAATTGATAACAATAAGTGGGAAAGCCCTCTTAATTAGTTATTGATGATTTTTTGGGGTGAATCATTGGGAAAGACCTGTTAATTACTAATTAGTCAGTTATTGGGGCAATCAGTGGGAAAGCCTTATTAATTACTAATGAATGAGTATTTAAGGGCAATCACTGGGAAAGCCCTATTAATTCATACTTACTGGGTTATTGGGGGATAATCACTGGGAAAGCCCTATTAATTGATGACAATCAGTAGGACAACCCTATTAATTACTAATTAATGAATTTTTGGGGTAAATCACTGGGAGAGCCCTATTAATCACTAATTAATGATTTATTTGGGACAATCAGTGGGAAAGCCCTATTAAGTACTAATTACTGAATTATTGCGGTAAATCAGTGGGAAAACCCTATTAATTCGTAATTAATGAATTTTGGGGGGCAATCAGTGGGAAATTAATTCATAGTTACTGAGTTTTTGGGGGCAATCAATGGAAAAGTCCTATTAATTACAGATTAATTAGAGTTATTGAGGACAATCACTGGGAAAGCCCTCTTCATTAGTTATTAATGAGTTTTTGGGGTCAATCATTAGGAAAGCTCTATTAATTCCTAATTAGTCAATTATTGGGTCAATCGTTGGGAAAGCCCTATTAATTAGTAATTAATGAGTTATTGGGGGAAATCAGAGGGAGAGCCCCATTAATTACTAATGAATGAGTATTTAAGGGCAATCAGTGGGAAAGCCCTATTAATTCCTAATGAAGAGAGTTTTTGGGGCAATCACTGGGAAAGCCTTATTAATTCATGTTTACTGAGTTTTGGGGGGCACTCAGTGGAAAAGCCCCATTAATTATAAATTAATGAGTTTTGGGGGCAATCAGTGGGAAATCCCTGTTAATTAGTAATTAATGAATTATTGGTGACAATTACGAGGACAACCCTATTAGTTACTAATTAATGAATTTTGGGGGTCAGTTAATGGGAAAGCCCTATTAATTACTAATTAATGAGTTACTGGGGACAATCACTGGGAAAGCTCTAAAAATCACTAATTAATGATTTGTTGGAGTCAATCACTGGGAAAGCCCTATTAATAATTAATGAGTTACTGGGGACAATCAGTGGAAAAGCCCTATTAATTACTAATTAATGAATTATTGGTGACAATCAGTGGGAAAGCCTTATTAATTACTAATTATGAGTTATAAGATACAATCACTGGGAAAACCCTATTAATTGCAAATTAATAAGTTTTTTCCCACAATCTGTGGGAAAGCCCTGTTAATTAGTAATTAATTAATTATTGGTGACAATCACTAGGACAACCCTATTAATTACAAATTGATGAATTTCTAGAGTCAGTCACTGGAAAAGCCCTAATGATCACTAATTAATGATTTATTGGGGTCAATCACTGGGAAAGCCCTATTAATAATTACTGAGTTATTGGGGTGAATCAGTGGAAAAGCCCTATTGATTACTAATTAATGAGTTTTTGGGGCAATCACTGGGAAAGCCTTATTCCTAGTTACTGAGTTTTTGGGGTCAATCATTTGGAAAACCCTATTAATTACTAATTAATGAGTTATTGAGGACAATCAGTGAGAAAGCCTTATTAATTCCTAATGAATTAATTCCTAATGAACAATTGAGAACAGTGGGAAAGCTCTCTTTTTTAGTTATTAATGAGTTTTTGGGGTCAATCATTTGGAAAGCCCTATTAATTACTAATTAGACAGTTATTGGGGTGTCATGGTTTTGCTCTGGGTCAGTTTTTTCTCACCCCCACACAATTACTCTAAGTTGAGAGAAGGTTTATGCAGACAAAAGAGAGCTGATTTGGGAAAATAATATGAGACATTTATTACTCGCAAGATGAAAACTAAAGGACTACATCTACAATAATTCTAATTAGGTAAAAGCACTATGTATTTACAGCAATACCCCTCCCCCTTTGTATCAGTCCAGGAGGAGAAGCAGTCTCTGTCTCCATTTCCAGAGCTCCAGGTCTTTTCAATAACTCTGCAGCACTCGAAAGCTCTTCTTGTGTTATCTCAGGACAACAACTCCTTTTCATTGCAGCTGGAACTGTTTCTCTCTTCTGTGTCAGTCCCAAGGCTGGGCCTACCCCTCTCCTGGGCTGAGACCAGAGGCTTGGGGGTTACCCAGGCCCTGAAGGTCTTCTCTTCCATGGACTGCAAGGACACACTTGCCTACTGTGGATCTTCACCAGAGTCACAGGGGATAACGGCTTTGAGTCCACCCCTGTTTCCTGTGGGGTCCCTTCCCACTGGGAGAACAGTCCTTGATAGACTTTTCCGACGTGAGTCCATCTCTCAGACAACAAGGTCTTCCATTCTCTGCTGTCTCTCAGGGTCACAAATTTAGCTGCACCAGCATGGATCCCTCACTCGGATCCCAACTCAGGGTCACCAATCTCCAGCTGTGCATGGATCCCTCACTCAGATCCCAACACCTTACCCGAGCCGTTCTGCTCTGGCACAAGTCTCTCCATGCCTTACAAGCCTCCAGCAGGACTCTGTTTCATTTCAAGCTTCTCATGAAGTCTCAGCTTCCTCGGCATCCACAAGCTCCTCTATGAGCCACGTGGGGGTCCCCTCACCCCAATAATCTTCCACAGGTGGCAGAGATTTATTTTATCAGTCTTTTCCCTGCTGAAGGGAGGGAATGAAAGGGGGGAAAAGCAGCCCCCCACTTCGAACTTCTCTCTCCTGCTGCAGCTTTGGCCTGGAAAGCCGTGCTCTCTCTCTCTCTGGAATTCCTTTTGCAGCATGTCTTGTCCAAGTTCTTCTTTAAAGTTGTTTTTTTTTTTCTCTACTCTCCTACAGGAGAGCAGGGGGGGCTTCAGTGCCACACCTGCCCCCAGCCCAGGCCACGGGGAGGGGGCCCTGGCCCATTTGGGGCTTGCCACCGCTCCTACCTGGCTGCCAGTTTTACCTGCTACCAATTTCAACTGCGCCACAGCCTTCTCTTCCATTTTCTTAAATACACCGTTGTCAGAGGTGTTACTGAGACTTTTGATTGGCCTTTTCTCCAGAAATCCACCTGGACAAAACCATCCTCAGCCTCAGGGGCTGGCTGGTGGGCAAATCCACAGCAATTTTGGTGGAGAATGCGGGCAGAGACTGCCCAGAGAGGCAGTGGCTGGATCAAACCACGACATGGGACAATCAGTGGGAATGCCTTATTAATTACTAATTAATGAGTTATAAAATACAATCACTTGGACAACCCTATTAGTTACTAATTAATGAATTTTTGGGGTCAGTCAGTGGGAAAGCCCTATTAATAATTAATGAGTTTTTTGGGTCAATCATTGGGAAAGCGCTATTAATTACTAATTAATGACTTATTGGGGACAATCGCTGGGAAAGGCCTATTAATTACTCAGTTATTGGGGACAGTCCCTGGGAAAGCCCTGTTAATTCCTAATTACTCAGTTGTGGGGTCAGTCCCTGGGAAAGGGACAATGAAAGTCCCTGTTCATTGCTGTGGCCCTGCTGCCCGGGGGTCCTGCAGGGTGTCCCCAGCCCAGCCCCGTGTCCCTCCCTGCCAGGAGGAAGCTGGACCTGTTTGCCAACGTGGTGCACGTGAAGAGCCTGCCGGGATACCAGACCCGGCACAACAACCTGGACCTGGTGATCATCCGGGAGCAGACCGAGGGCGAGTACAGCTCCCTGGAGCACGAGGTGTGGGCACGGCTGGGGCAGCGCTGGGGGCGGGAGCCAGCCTGGGAATGGCCGGCCTGGAGAAGAGAAGGCTCCAGGGAGACCTGAGAGCCCCTGGCAGGGCCTAAAGGGGCTCCAGGAGAGCTGGAGAGGGACTGGGGACAAGGCCTGGAGGGACAGCACACAGGGAATGGCTTCCCACTGCCAGAGGGCAGGGAGAGATGGGATATTGGGAAGGAATTGCTGGCTGGGAGAGTGGGGAGGGGCTGGAATGAATTTCCCAGAGAAGCTGTGGCTGCCCCTGGATCCCTGGAAGTGTCCAAGACCTGGGATAGTGCAAGGTGTCCCTGGGTGAGACTGGATGAGATCTTACTTCTCTCCAACCCAAACCATTCCATGATTCCCTGATTCCATGCTGAGCACAGTGTGGAACCACCTGGAGCACCAGTGATGGAATTAGGGGAGGTTTTAGGGATATGAACACACCCAGCCCCAGTGAGGATGGGGAGGCTGCAGGAGGAAAAAGGGACAAGGGGACACAGAGATTGTCTTGGCTTAACCCCTGCCCTCGGTCACCCTCTCTCCCTTCCCGGGGGGAGGAGAACAGGAAAGAAAAGGTGAACATGGACTGGGATAAGAAAAATTGAATAACTGAAACAAAATAATAAGAGCAACAATACTAATGCTAACTAATGCTACTAAAATACAAATATTATTGTTAATAAAATACAATGATAATATAAGCATAATACAGATAACAATATACATAATAACTTTCATAAATACAATATAATAAATGAGAGGGAGATAAGCAGACCCCAGGTGGAACAAGTGATGCCCATTCAATCTCCCACCACCCACTGACCAATGCTCAGCACTAACTGCCCCTCCCTCCCCCCAGTTCCTATGCTGGGCAGGACATTCTATGGGCTGGGACACCCCTTTGGCCAGTCTCCCCCCAGATTCTCGTGCCCTGGCCAGGGGGGCACCGAAATGTCCTTAATTTGGGGTGAGCAACACCCGCGGCATCTGCGTGTTACCGTCATCATCCTCACCCTAAATCCCAGCTGCTGGGGAGACAGCTCTGTCCAGCCCACGCCTGGGGGTGCTGTGCTGTGCTGTGCTGTGCTGTGTGTGACCCCCCTGTGCCCCCAGAGTGCCAAGGGGGTGATCGAGTGCCTGAAGATCATCACCCGCGCCAAGTCCCAGCGCATCGCCAAGTTCGCCTTCGACTACGCCACCAAGAAGGGCCGGGCCAAGGTCACCGCTGTGCACAAGGCCAACATCATGTGAGTGCCATGGGGACACCGCTGTCCCCTCGGGGCCAGCCCTGGCTGGGCTGCCCAGCCCTGGAACACCGTCTGTGGTGCTGGGATGTCAGCGGTTCCAGGGCCTGCCACTGAGCGGGACATGCTTTGGGGCTGAGCAGAGTTCTCGATAACTCAGAGCCAGTGCAGCAGCTCCAGAACAGAGTTCCTCTCCCACCTCTGTTCTCTCCAAGCTCAGGGTGCCCACGAGGATGCTCCCTTGACTTGGGGTGCCCTCTGTGAGCAGTCAGTTCCTTTCCCACAGTTTCCCACAGTGGGAATTTGACGGAGTGCATTATTACCTGACCAAACCTGGGCTCTGCTAGGCCTGGAATGAGCACCTTCCTGGTGTAAATTCCTGCCATCTGTGCTTACCTCAAGTTCTTGCTGTGCTGCTTTATCTCCTGGGAAGTTCCTTCTGTGGCCTTGACAGTGCTTGAGACAGGAAGTTGTGCTCTCTTTAGTCCTTCCAGGTGTGTTTACCTGGGACAAAGCACATTCTTCTGGGAGATGGCAGAAAGGGAGAGAGGGGCTGGGGGGAGGGAACAAAGCAGCATCAGAAGCCCCAACTTATCACTGGCCCCAGCTGCAGTTGGACACCTGCAGTTCCTGTTGGACACCTGGTGCCATAAGGATTCCCGTTTCCCACCAACCCTTCCTGGTGTTTGCTCTCTGCAGGAAGCTGGGGGACGGGCTGTTCCTGCAGTGCTGTAAGGAGGTGGCAGAGCTGTACCCCAAGATCAAATTCGACACCATGATCATTGACAACTGCTGCATGCAGGTGAGCCCCCCTGCACCACCCACTGCTGCTCCCCCAGGAGCTGGAACCCCAAAAGCTGCACCTGGACACTTGTCCTGTCCCTCCATCCCTCGTCCAAATCCCTCTCCAGCTCTCCTGGAGCTCCGTTGGGCCCTGGAGGAGACCTTGGAGCTCACCCAGCCCCCCAGGCACTCCCGTGTTCTGCCCCCCCATTGGTGACCTGCCCTGTCTGGAGTGGGTCCAGCTGCCCCCAGGTGTGCAGGGCCTCACGAGCCCCCCGTGCCCCCGCAGCTGGTGCAGAACCCGTACCAGTTCGACGTGCTGGTGATGCCCAACCTGTACGGGAACATCGTGGACAACCTGGCGGCGGGGCTGGTGGGCGGCGCGGGCGTCGTGCCCGGGGAGAGCTACAGCGCCGAGTACGCCGTGTTCGAGCTGGTGAGCGGCTCTGGGGGCCGGGGGGCTGAGGGGAGCACAGGGCCCCTCACCCTGGCTGTGTCCCCTCACCCTGGCTGTGTCCCGCAGGGCGCCCGGCACCCCTTCGCCCAGGCCGTGGGCAGGAACATCGCCAACCCCACGGCCATGCTGCTGTCGGCCTCCAACATGCTGCGGCACCTCAAGTACGTGCTGGGCGGGGCACGGGGGGCTGCTGGGGGGCTGCAGGGGGCTGACCCGCTGCTCTCCCCTCCAGCCTGGAGTACCACTCCAACCTGATCTCGGACGCGGTGAAGAAGGTGATCAAAGGCGGCAAAGTGAGTGTGGGGCTCTGTCTCGGTGTCACTGTGCTGTGTCCTGGGCTGCTCTGTGTCCTGGGCGAGGCTCTGGCTCCTCTCCTCTCTCCAGCTGCAATTTCAGCTCCTCTCCCAGCTGGAATTCCAGCCCCTCTTCTCTTCTAGCTGGAATTCTGGCTCTGCTCTTCTTTCCAGCTGGAATCCTGGCTCCTCTCCTCTCTCCTGCACTTGTCCCTGGGGTCATGTGCTGGCAAGGGAGGGACCTCTGGCAGGCCTAAGGGACCCTCCATGGCCTTCTCCCCACCCCACGTCCTGGCAGGGCGCTTGAGGGACCCTCTGTGACCCCCCCCCCAGGTCCTGGCAGGGCTGGGGGACCCTCTATGGCTTTCTCCCCACCCCAAGTCCTAGCAGGGCACTCAGGGGACCCTCCACAGCTCCCTCCCCACCCGGGCCCTGGCAGGGCACTCGAGGGGCTCCTCTCTCTCCTCTCCTCTCCCTCTCGGAGCCATTTCCCTCGTTCACCAGCAGTTTCCCCCGTTTCTCCCCTCCCTGTGTTGGATTTTCAGGTCCGGACTCGGGACTTGGGCGGTTACTCCACCACCACCGACTTCGTCAAGTCCGTCATTGACAACCTGCACCCCCACTATGGGGCTTAGGACCCCCGGCAGCCCCCACAGCGCCTCGGCCCCCCAAACCCCTCCCCAAGCCCCCTGCCCCAGTTCCCCCTAGGGAAAAGGGGGGCCTCCCCCCTGCCCAGCCCAGTAACTCCAGTCCCCCCCCACTCCCAGTTCCCCTCACAGGGATCACTCCATGGCCAGGGTGGATCTCAGGGTCCATTGGGGTGACAGGGGGGAACGGGGCAGTGCCCCAAACTCACAGGCAGCTTCCAGGGACATTGGGACCACCAGTACTGTGGGACCACCATTCCATGACCCCTTGTGACTATGGGACCACCATTCCCATGGGACCTTCATCACTGTGGGACCACCATTCCCATGAAGCTTTTAGCAATAAATGGGACCACAGGGCTCCCCACTCCTCCTTCCCCCTTTCTGCTGCTGGCACAGGGACAGGGGCCCTGTGGCTCCTGGGACCAGCCACGGTGCCACCCCGGGGGTCCTGGTGGCTCCTGGGACCAGGGCCCAGCTCCAGCGTGAGCCCAGGGGTCCCTGTGGCTCCTGGGGTCGCTGTGGGGTGGGTGCTGGGCTGTGTCATCGTGCTGTGCTCTGTAACTCCTGCTTGCTAATAAAGGGTCCAACGCTTCCCTCTGGCCTGGGGGGTCAGAGCCTGGGGCAGCTCGAGGGGCGCTGGGCTGGGGGGAGGGGGGCTCAGCCCCAGCCCCTCACCATCCCCTCCTGAGGAGCAACTCTGCCTGGGGAGGGGCTGCTCTGCAATAGGGGGAGCAGTGCTGGAACCAGAGACCACAGAGCCTGTGGGCACCCAGTGTGGGCTGTCTGATGCTTCCCGTCTTGTGTGGGGCATGGGGGGCTTCAGCCTCTCCCTGTGTCCCCAAGGCCCCCTCTCCAGCCCCAGGGGTGCAGGGACAGTCTGGGGGCTGCCAAGGGCCCCTGTCCCAGGGCAGCACTGCCCAGGCTGGGGCTGGGGGGCCCCTTAGCCGGGGTCCCTCCCCCTCCCTAACCTCCCCTCTCCTTGCAGGTGCGCACGGCGGACATGGGGGGCTACTCCACCTCCATGGATTTCACCCAGGCCGTGATAGCTGCCCTGGAGGAGTAGTGCTGGGGTAGTGCCCCTCCCGGCTCCTGCCCTGCCCACCCGGTAAATCACTCCTTCCCCCCAATAAAGTGGCCTCAGGCGTGACCACGGTGCCATCGTGTCCCTGTGCCAGAGGGGACAGCCAGGGCACCCCCTGGCACACACCAGGCAGGAGGGATAAACAACCACCTCAGCCCTTTATTGGGGCCTGGTCAGCCCAAGCAGGTCCTGCCCCCTGCACGGCCCAGGGATACACCACGTGCACCCAAACCCCCGGGGAAGGAACACGGGGGGCTGGGGGGCAACACCGTGTAAGGCACAGCCCGGGGGCTGCCGCTGCCCAAAGGACTCACCCAGGCCCTGAGGGGCCACGACACGTTCAGCGTGGCACAGTTCAGCGTGGCACAGTTCAGTGTGGCCTCTGCCACGGGACACGCCCAGGACACGGCAGGGGCCGCCCCGAGCTCCTCCTGCTCCTCAGTCTGTCAGTCCTCTGTTCCTCAGTCTGTCAGTCCGTCTGTTCATGTGATGGAGCTCCTGCTCCAGTCCCTGCTCCCTAATCCTCCTCCAAGTCCTGGGCCACTGCCTTCTTCTTCTTCTTCTTTTTCTTCTTCTTCTCTTCCTCCTCCTCCTCCTCCTGCTCGACCACGAGTTTCCTTTTTTTCTTGGGCAGGGGTTCCTCCTCCTCCTCCTCCTCCTCCAGCCCGTTCTCCTCGGGCTCAGCCTCTGCCTCCTCCATCTGCTTCTTCTTTTTCTTCTTCTTTTTGGCCCCCACATCGTTCTCCTGAGGGAGGACACCCAATGTCAGAGGGCACTCTGCCCCCCACCCCGTGGGGCCCAGGTAACCCCTAGGCTCCCCATGAGGGTCCCACCCCCAGCCCCCTCCTCACCTCTGTCTCCATCACCGAGTTCTCCTCTGCCTCCCCAGCAGCCGCTGCCAGGGCCTCCAGCCGCCGTTTCTCCCGCTTCTTCTTCTTCTTCTCCTTCTTCTCCTGTCTCCTCTTCACCTCAGCCACCACCTCGTTAGCCTGGGGAGGACACGTGGGGGCATCAGCGTGGGGAGGGTCCCAGGGCCCGTCCCCACCCCCGGCACTGGTCGGATCAGACTCATTAAATCAGTCTTTTGCCTCCACAGAGGGTCAGGTTGGCACAGTGACATCACCTCCGACACGAGCCCCCACCATCCTCTTCATGCCCCCAGCCCCTCACCAATACCACCTCCTCCTCCGTCACCCCCAGCACCTTCACCTCTGTCTTCGTCTCCCCAGCACTTCATCTCCACATCCTTGTCCCTCCCTCCCTCCCTGCAGCCTCACTCCCGTGTCCTTCATCACCCTCACCACTCTTCTTCATCCCCCGCACCTCCACCCCCACCGTGGCCCCCCAACACCTCCTCACCTCCACCACGGCCTCCTTCATCACCTCCAGGTTCTTCCTGGGGGGCTCCCCGGTCTCGTAGAAGGCCAAGCGCTCCTCCACCTGCTCCCGCAGCTTGTCCCCGAACACGCTGGTGGGGACCTCTGGGGAGGGGATGGGGTCAGCCCCCTCCTGCACCCCTGGGCCCCCCAGCCCCCTGCACCCCCAGCTCTGCTCAGCCCAACAGAGTCACCATTCACACGGCTGTGAGATGCTGCTGACGAAAAATGTTCCCATCACGGCAGAGCGGCCCCAACCCCACCCCCAGCCGTGCCCCCGAGGAGCAGCCAAAGCAGGAGGCAGCAGTGGCCCTGCTGGCAGGTGTGTCCCACCCTGTGCCCAGACCCACCCGAGAAGCAGTCGATGCGGGAGGCGATGGTGCACTTGTTGGCCAAGTACCGCGAGATGCGCCCCTTGTTCTTGGCGGCCGCTCTCCCGATGAACGTGGAGTGGAAGATGAGCCCGTACTTGGGGGTGTTCCCGCGCGTCTTCAGAGCCCTGCAAGGCGTGGGGGGAATGAGGGGCGGGTGGGACCCCCAGAGCGAGCCACCACTGCCCCCCTCTGCCAGCAGCACCCGCTGGGCCTGCGGGACAGCCCCTCCCCCAGGGCATCCCAGCCCCTGGGACAGCCCCTTCCCCCATTTCCCCCCCGCAGCCCCAGCCCCGCTGACCTCGGGGAGCCCCGAGCCGGCCCCGCAGCCGCGGTGGTCGCTCAGACTGGGCCCGGCTGCTCACCCCCGCCAGCCCCGGCGCGTCACAGCCGTGGCCCCGGCCCCGCCATCACCGCGACCACCCGGCGGTACCTGAACAGGGCCTTCTCAGCCCCCAGGATCTGCACCGTCGACGCCGGGTACTTGGCCAGGTTCGTCAGGCTGCCCGCATGGGAGATGAGCCGGGCACCCACCTGGGGAGCATCACAGGGGGTTACGGCTGCCCCAGCCCCACAGCCCACCCAGAGCTCACCCCAGGGCGCACACACACACACGCACGCACACAGACACACACATGTGCAGAGCCCACCCCAGGGCATACAGAGACCACCCAGAGCACACACACAGCTCCCCACAGAGCACACAGAGCCCCCCAACTTCTCCCCTAGGGCACCCAGATTCCCCCTCAGGTCCCACAGCCCACCTCGAGGCACACAAAGCCCCCCAGGCCAGGGATCAGCAGTGAGGTGTCAGCAGCTCTGCTCAGTGGATTGACAGATTCACTCTGACATCATCTCCGTGGCCGAGGGGGCCCCAGGGGTCCCAGGGACACTCACCACCTCCCCGATGAGGGCAGACAGGCTGGGGGCCACCTGGCTCATCTTGGAGCGCAGGTACTCCTGCAGCCCCCGGCGGTACTCGGACAGCGAGATCACGCGGCGCGAGAAGCTCTCGATGTTGATGAGGTCCAGGGGGGAAATGTCCATCCCTGGGGGGGCACCGGGTGAGCGGCAGAACCCACCCTGCAGCCGCGACACCCCTGCCCTCCCCAGAGCCCCTCTCACCCATGGAGGAGCGCGAGGCCTCCAGGATGGCCTGGGCCTTGGCGCTGTCCATGACGATCTCCTCCAGCCCCTCCAGGCTCTCCTCGCTCAGCTCCCGCCGGTTCCCGATGAATTTGGCCACCTGGCAGTACATGGAGTTCTCGGGGACGATCTTGATCAGCTCGGGGAAGTGGTACCCGTACCACTCCCTGCAGGACAGGGACAGGCTCAGCACTCGCACCTGGACCCGCAGCTGCCCCAAGGCCCTGTGTCCCCCCATGAGCCCCCCACATCCCTGTATCCCCCCCATGGCCCTGTGTCCCCCATGGCCCCCCCACATCCCTGTGTCCCCCCCAAGGCCCTGTGTCCCCCCGGGGTCCCGCCACGGCCCATGGCCCAGCCGGTGCCCCGGGGGCTGTGCTGTGGCTCCCCGGTCTGTACAGGCGGCCGGAGCAGCGGCTGCCTGCGGTAAGCGAGGGGAGACGGGACCCCCAGAGCCCCTAAACCCAGCCCCACTCACCGAACGCGCATGGAGAAGGTGTTGATGTCCTTGTCCAGCTGGTCCAGCAGGCTGATGGACTGGATGATCATGTTGTCCACTCGGTGCACGTTGAACTTCACCTTGGCCCGGGAGTAGCTGTGGCCGAGCCCCAGCTGGGCCTTGGCCGCCGACTGTGCCGTGAGGCCCCGCACCAGCGCCGGGAAGTGCAGCCGGATCCCTGCGGGACACCGGGACAGGGCCACGTGAGCTGGGGACTGAGCTACAACCGTGCAGCACCCAGCAGTCACCACCCATGGAGAAGAGAGCACCAAATGACACCATGCAGAGCAGAGGGGTGTCACGGGTGTCACCATGTGGGGTACAGAGGGTTCACCACATGGGGACAGGGAGGGGACGGAGTTGCCACCACACAGTGACTGAGGTGTCGCCGTGCTGGGACTGAGGTGCCAGCCCGTGGGAAGAGCTGTCACCGTGTGAGAACAAGGGTCTCACCATGGGAGGACTGAGATGGCCCCGTGTGGGCACTGAGGTGCCACCACACGGCCACAGAGGTGTCACCGTGTGCCTCTGGGCCAGGTCCAGGACAACCACAGCACATGCCCGATGGCTCCCCCAGCCCCCCAGGGTGTCCCTGTCCCCACTCACCCCGCAGGAGCTCAGCCACGACGCCCCCGGTCTGGCACTGCACGCCCAGCTCCTCCTGCACGGCCGCGCCCATCTTGGCGTCGCCCACCCCCAGCACCACCTTCTTCCTCTTGGGGGGCAGCGCCGTGTCCAGCAGCAGCCGCAGGTCCTCGTGCAGGACGCCTGCGGGACATCGGGGCTCAGGGGGGGCCGCGGGGGGGACCCTGTGCCCCCCAGACCCCCTACTCACCCTCGGACACGGCGTTCATGTTCTCCAGAGCGCTCTGCGCCGACCGGAACGGCGAGAACGCCACGAGCTTCACCATGTTGTGGAACTTGCCGAGCGTGAGGACGCTCTCCTCCACCTGCGCGGGGGACAGGCCGGGCCCGGGGGGGCAGGCACCGGTGGGGCAGGCACCGGGTCATCCGGGGAGCGGGAGCGCCCCTCGGGCACACGGACCGCGCCCCCCGCACAGCGCAGCCCCTCCCCACGGCTTCCCCCGACCCCGATCCCTCCCGTTCCCGGCCCCGCCGCTGCCCGTGCCCGTTACACGCCGCTCCCGTTACACGCCGCTCCCCTTCCTCCCCGCCCCCTTTCTCGCTCCTGCTCCCGTTCTCGTTCCCGATGCCCGCTCCCTACATCGTTCCCGTTCTCCCTGTCCCCGCTCCAGCCCCGTACCTGCGGCAGCTGCAGCCCGATCTCCTCCACCTCCCGCACGGCGAACAGCGCGTACCCGGCCGCATGTTCGAACAGCACGTGCAGCAGCACCTGCGGCGGCACCGGAGATTCCGCTCACACCGGGGGTTCCGTGCTCACACGGGGGCTCCGCTCACACCGGGGCCGTGCTCACCGGGGGCGCACCCTGCGCCCGCCGCTTCCCCCGGCCCGGCCCCGCTCCCCTCCATCCCCGAGCGGCCCCCCCGGTGTCCCCCGTGCCCGATGCCGGCGGATGCAGCGCAGTCCCCCCGGTGCCCCCCGTGCCCGATGCCGGCGGATGGAGCGCGGCCCCCATGCCCCCCTGTGTCCCCTGGTGTCCCCCCGTGCCCGATGCCGGTGGATGCAGCGCGGTCCCCCCGTGCTCCCCGGTGTCCCCCGGTGTTCCCCCGTGCCCGATGCCGGCGGATGCAGCGCGGCCCCCCGGCCCTCACCATGATCCTTCTCCTCCCGCCGCCGCCCGGAAATGCCGCCGCACACCCGCCGGAACCCCGCCCCCTTCCGCCGCCACCAATCAGCGCCCGCGTCCCGCCCTCCGGCCAATCACCGCAAGGGTGTCCCGTGATGGATCCTCCCCGTAGCCAATCAGAGTGCGAAGCGGAGGTCCCGCCTCCCTTTTGCCGTCCCTGCCAATCAGACTCGGGGACAGACGTTTCGTCCCGCCCTTTCCTGCGCGCGGGCCAATGGGAGTCCCCGCCCGTGCGCGCGCTGGGCCCCCCTTCCTGCTCGGTGCGCTGCGCGCGCGGCCGCACGTGCGGAACGGCGACCCCAAACGGGACCCCAAACGGGACCCAAATGGGACCCAAATGTGTCCCCAGCGTCACCCCCGGGACCCCAAACGGGACCCAAATGTGTCCCCAGCGTCACCCCCGGGACCCCAAACGGGACCCTAAATGTGTCCCCAAATGTGTCCCCAAATGTGTCCCCAAATGTGTCCCCAGCGTCACCCCCGGGACCCCAAACGGGACCCTAAATGTGTCCCCAAATGTGTCCCCAAATGTGTCCCCAAATGTGTCCCCAGCGTCACCCCCGGGACCCCAAACGGGACCCCAAATGTGTCCCCAAATGTGTCCCCAGCGTCACCCGCGGGACCCCAAACGGGACCCAGATGTGCCCCAGCGCCACCCCCGGGACCCCAAACGGGACCCGAACGGGACCCAAATGTGTCCCCAAATGTGTCCCCAAATGTGTCCCCAGCGTCACCCCTGGGAACCCAAACGGGACCCCAAAGGGAACCTCAAATGTGTCCCCAAATGTATCCCCAGTGTCACCCCTGGGATGGGACCCCAAATGTGTCCCCAGCGTCACCCCTGGGAACCCAAACGGGACCCCAAAGGGAACCCCATATGTGTCCCCAGTGCCCCCTCTCGGGACCCCAGCTGCCCCCGGTCCCATCCCGGGACCCCCAGTGCCCTTCTCGGAGCCGTCCTGGCCCCCGGTGCACTGTGAACTCCCGTCCCCGCCGTGTCCCCGCCGTGTCCCCGCCGTGTCCCCGCCGTGCCGGTGCCGGGTCCGCGGGCTCGGGCTCAGGTTCAGGTTATTTTATTGGAGAGCAGGAGCGGGGGGGTCGCAGCCCGGCCGGGGGCACAGGGGGGTGCGCGGGGGGCTCTGACACCCCCGGGGCAGCCCCGGCCGGGGGTCCCGGGTCTGTAGTGTGAGAGCAGCGAGGGGGAGCCCCGGACCCCCGGGGGAAGCGGCTCCGGCTCCACCCGCCAGAGGGGCCGGGGGGGCGGTGCGGGGTCCCCGGGGGCGGTGCAGGGTCCCCGGGGGTGGTGCGGGGTTCCCGGGGGCGGGAGGGCGCAGGGGACCCTCACCCCGTGCCGGGGGACCCTCAGGCGACGAAGTGCTGTCGGAGGTGCTGCAGCAGGTCCGGGGTGAGCAGCAGCCGGTGCGCCTGGCCCTGCCCCGGGGGGCACGGGAAGGACACCCGCCCGCACAGCGCCGGGCCCTGCGCCTGCTCCTGCTTGGCCTGCGGGACCCCAGAGCCGTGAGGGACCCCAGAGCCGTGAGGGACCCCTCGGGAACCCCACCCAGCCACAGCATCCCCACCAGGGTCCCCGTGTGAGGGGCTGGGGGTCCTGACCCTCCCCATCCCGCAGGAATCAGGTCCCTCGGGAACAGGAGTGCCTTGGCATTGAGGGGGTTCCCTCAAGATTGGGGTTCATTAGGATTGGGGGTCCTTTGGGATCAGGGCCCCTCTGGATTAGGGGTCTAGAACTGAGGTCCCTCAGGATCTGGGGTTCCTTGGGATTGGGGGATCCCACGGGGTTGGTGTCCCTTGGGATTGGGGATCCCTCAGGATCAAGGGGCCCTTGAGATCAGGGGGCTCTCAGGTTTGGGGGGTCCCTGGGGATGGGGTCTCACCTTGAGGAAGGAGGAGGAGGGGAAGGTGCCGAAGGTGGTGGTGACGCCGGCGCCCGGCTGCTGCTGCACCATCTCCCTCAGCGTGTCGTCCTGGGGGAACAGCAGGGTCACCCCAGAACTGCCCCTCACCCACCCCACAGAGCCCCTCCCTGCCCCAGGGACCCCTCCCCACCCCACAGAGCCCCTCCCTGCCCCAGGGACCCCTCACCCACCCCACAGAGCCCCCTCACCTGCCTCAGGAAGCCCCCTGAAGTCTCCACAGAGCCCCTTGCCCAACCCACAGACCCCCCTGCCCACCCTGCACCCCTGGGCACAAGCCAGAGGGGTCAGACCCGGCTGTTCTGGAATGGGAACGGGAAGGGGCAGCACTGAGGAGCCCCCAGCCCCAGCCCCGGGGCTGCTGAGATGTGACACCCCCTCCCACCCAGCCTGGGGGCCCGGGGGGGCTGCGCAGGGGGTGCCACTGCGACCCCACCCCTGGGGAAGCCCCTGCTCACCTTCAGGGCATCGATGGTGTTCTTGAGGGCGCAGAGCCGGGCCGTCTGCTCCAGGAGCCGCGCCGAGGAACTGCGGGCTAGGGAACAGCACGGGGACCGTGTGGGGTGTGTGGGACAGGGACACAGCATGGGGACAGTGAGGGGTGGGACAGGGACAGGGAACAGCACGGGGACCGTGTGGGGTGTGTGGGACAGGGACACAGCACGGGGACCGTGTGGGGTGTGTGGGACAGGGACACAGCACAGGGACAGTGAGGGGTGGGACAGGGACACAGCACGGGGACCGTGTGGGGTGGTTTGACCTCCTCAGGTTGTTACCAGGGCGTTTCAGGGGTTCTGGGGGGTTTGACCTCCTCAGGTTGGTGCTTGGGGGATTTTGGGGGGTTTGACCTGCTCAGGTTGGTACAGCAATGCCCCAGGCCGTGGCTGAGCTCCCTGTGCCACACCCCTCCCGGAATTCCCTCGGGAATGTCGTGCAGGACGTACTGGACTTGTTCTGCCTCATGTCCACCACCTTGGCGTTGGCGCTGAGCTGGTACAGGGTCTCCAGCAGCTGGGTGGTCTTGCGGAACAGGGTCTGCGTGGGCAGCCCCTCCCCGGGGCGGTCCCGGGCCGGGGCCACCCGCGGCACCTGCAGCGGGGCCAGGCTGGCCAGGTCCATCTTCATCTGGGCACCCTGGATCGGGACACGGCGGGAGCAGCGGGGAAAGGAGTGGCCGGAGGGAAAAACGGGATAAAAACAGCAAAGCAGGGGTTAAAACTCTCCCAAGCCCAGCAGGGCGTGGATCTCCCAGGGGTGGGAGCAGGGATGCCCAGGGGAGCCCCGGGACACTCAGGCTCATCCCACCCGGACCACATCCCATGCTACCCCTGGACACGCCCCGACCCCCACCCCCAAACCTTGAGCATGTTGTTCTCGTTCTTGAGGTGCTTCAGGGAGAGCTGCAGGGCGTCGATCTGCTGCAGCAGCAGCGGAGAGTCCTTCACCTGCACGGGGCCGGAGCCGCCCCCCGGCACCTGCCCGGCACCCACACCTGGGGGAGGGAGGGAGGGACAGGCCCCGGTGTCACCCGGGGTGCTGGCACCGGGCACGGGGACACGGCGGCTGCCACGTGTGCCCAGACACCAACAGGACCATTCCCAACACAAGCAATTCCCCAGAGAAGTCCCTGGCACCCCTCACGCCCCCTCAGCACTCCCAGTGCCCCTTCCTGAGGGTGGGGGCTGTGCCAGGCACTCCAGGGACACAGCTCTCCAGGTGGGAGTCACCCCACTCTGCCCCCACCACAATCCCACGCTCATCCCTCCCTTCCCAGTCCCCCAGGAGGCACCAGCCAGCAGATCCCAGGGTCAGCAGCATCCAAGGAGGACCCGGATCCTTCCCCTGCTCCCAAACCCAGGGAGTTGGGCACCCTGGGACACCTTCCCCCCCCCATACACTGTGTGTGTCCATACCTCGCTGCTGCTCCTCTGCAGCACAGGGAGAGACAAGGAAAAGCAGGATTAAAGCCCTGGACTGGGCAGGAAAGGAGCTGGGGGTAGAGCCATGGCCCTGTCTGGGGCTGATCCCATTCCTGGCTCTGGGAGCAACATCCCAGCAACTGGGAGTGATCCCAGCAGCACCTGGGGGATGGCACAGAGCTCCTGGGCTGCTCCTGCTCCTTTGGGAGTGAGGCCATGCTGGCAGTGTCCCCGGGAGCCAGGGCTGGGGATGTGGGGACACGGGAGAGGCCGCGGAGGGACAGGAGCATCCAGAGGATGCTGCACTCCAGAGCTGCTACATCCCCAGGCTGCTGCATCCTGCATCCAGAGGATGCTCATCCAGGTGTTACCCATCCCAGCTCAGGGCCAAAGGCTCAGAATGCAGACCCACCAGATCCCTGCCACACTGGGGCCACGGGCCAGGCTGCTCCATGGCCACCTGGTCATTCCTGAAGGACACCCCAGCTCTCCATTCCAGAGGCCACACACTGTCCTGCAGCCAGAGCTCCTCACAGAACCCAAACACCTGCTCCTGCTCCAGGTGGTTTTGTAGGGTACTTTGAGCAGCAGAGCTCCAACACCCATCTGTGCCCAGGAGAGCCCCAGCAGGCACGAATCCCGTGGGATCATCCTGCCAAAGGGACACCCTGGGCTGGCTCCAGGGATCATCCCATGCAGGGACACCCTGGGTGGCTCCGTGGAGGTGCCCCCCTGTCCTGCCTGCCCAAGGCAGCTATAGGAGCAGCATTCCCACGTGACCCCTGTGCCAGGAGGACACCCCGTTCCCATTCCAGCCCCGCACCTCCGGCGATGCCGGACACGATGGAGGCGACGCCCGAGGCCGGGCCCCCCCGCAGCCCCTCGATCGTCCGCTTGGACTGGTTGTTCAGCCGCTGCTTCAGCTCCACCTTCTCCGACTCCAGCTGGTCGATGTCGGCCTGGAGAGCGTCCATGGTCTCCTCAAACTCCCTGGGAAGGGCACATGGAGGGGCAGCTGAGGCAGGGACACTGCAGCCCAGGACCCCTTGTCCTGTCCCTCCAGGCCTTGCCCCCAGTCCCTCTCCAGCTCTCCTGGAGCCCCTTTAGGCCCTGCCAGGGGCTCTCAGGTCTCCCTGGAGCCTTCTCTT